TCCAGCTTTCCTGTGCCTCTTTCTTCAACTAAAATTGTTGGCCTCAATGTTCTAAGGTGACACACTAAAGGCAAAATTCTATATAAATTCTCTATAAGCCTGGAGGTTATGACTCAGAAAATTCCTATTAATTTAAAAATGCTTCCAAAATAATGCAGTTACTAAATGGTTTAGATTTCTCAACAAAAGCTGCATTAGGTTTTGGGGACAAAAGTAATATTTCCAACTTTTTGGGGAAACTAAGACTTGTCTTTTATTTCTGAACCAAAAGAAGTGAGGAATGCAAATTACGACCCACCATATCCTGCATCTTCCTTAATAGGGGAATAAAAAGAGCATGTTGAAGGAGCACCATGGCAATCAAGCCCTGTAATTCTATCTCCGATGCAGCTGAAGGGCAGTCAGGGCAGTATTTGAGGACTTCACAGACCTCGCTCTTGGCAGCCTTAGCATAAGAGAGAACCAAAGCAGCCCACTATTCTTAGAGAAGTAAAGCAACAGTGACAATTAAGTCACCACATTAAGTTCTCCAAAGAAAATACTGACTCATATTTGATAAACACAAATTAGTCAAAATATGCTTCAATCATTACAGAATCCCTCAAATCTAGCACTCAGAGGTACATACAAGGTAACAGCTGAAATATTTGGGTATACAGAGAAAATGCTACGTGTTCTTTAAAAAAAAATCTAATTTAGATTTAAAGAGTTAAAACATTTAATTGGCATAAGGGAAGATACAGAATTGCCATTATTTCATATGTCATATGCTTAGAGTAACCTTTATGGAATTATCACAATGGAGTAAAGGCTGACTTTCACTGGGTGCTTGATAGTCCCTCTGCCTGAGGAAGGCCGTGTGCACCTGCCCCAGCAGATGGAGAGGGAGGACTGGCAGGTCACTGCACGGAAGGTCAGGCACACTCACGTGCAAGCATGCCTTTGCCTTTCTCATTTCAAAGAGAGTTTTCTAACATTTAAACTAGTCAAAATTCAAAACAAAAAGCTGGACAGAGGGAGGGAGAGGGAAGAAAAGAAGGAAGAGAGTTTCTATGCAATCCTCACTTTCAGGAAGAATGAGGATATACTTTAATAGCATGTGGGACATCTTTTTTCTTCTTCCTCCCCAAAGCCCCAGTACGTTGTTGTACATTCTAGTTGTATTCTTCTATGTGAGCCGCTGCCATAGCATGGCTACTGACAGATGAATGGTGTGGTTCTGCATCCAGGAACCAAACCCGGGCTGCTGACATGGAGTACGCCGAAATTTAACCAGTAGGCCATCAGGGCTGGCTCGGAACATCTTTTGACTGTCCTACGACTTCTGCTCTTATGGACCATGCTGTCCTAGAGAAAACACAATGTGAAAAGTGTTTTCTATCTCGTCTTATCCTCCATGAGCACTCTTATCTGTGAAGAGAAGCTCCACGTTCTGAGGATGACTCTCGGGCTGCCCATGCACTTCCACACACTGACTGTCAATTAAGTCATCAGAATAAAGAACACGCTTAATGTCAGATTCTGCCCTGAAGGTTTCTGAAATCAAGATGCCTTCTTTCTACGAAGATCATTCTTATCAAAATAGCCAGATAATTGCCAAAAAATAATTATGATCTATAATTATTATTGTTGGTGACTGTCGATGACGCATAGAGAAGAATACAGCTTGATTTTCAAAGCCTAACCGTGAAGAAGCAAGAAAATCAAATGCTGTTTTGACTAGCTGAAATGTACCAACTTGACACAGAAGTCACAAAGGAAAAATCTCAAAGAAGGGAAAATATATCCAATTGGCCTGACTCAGCATTTCTCAAATATAAGTTACAAGCTCAAAGTGCAGGAGAAAGATCTTTCAAGAATCAAGGCTAAAATCATGGCTGAAGATGAATTCTGGGAAGGAGTGGGTCTCCTAGACCATTCAAGTCTTTAAGGGAAGAAGAATGAAGTCTTGACTGTACTGTACCTTCAGGTACATGAGGCAGACTCTCTTGGAATCCCATTTAATACTAACCTGATACTACATAACATACAGATGGACCAACAGAGACCAAATAAAGTTCATATTTGCAGAATGAAAATTTAAAAGTACTCACCACTGGTTCTATAGATTTTCTAGTTCAGGTGTTAAATTCCAAGGTGGCAGAAAGGCCCGCACCGTTCTATTTGAATATTCCTGTGCTACTTCGGCATCTAGGCCAGGATGATTTGATGCCCAGTAGACCACGGCATGGACAGTCAATTAAGTAGTAAGCTTTTAATACTGAAAAATACTTCAAACTAACTTTGGTAATATTTAATCTATTTTAATTTAGGCCTTCCTTACGGAGACTCAATTTTGAAAATCTGAAATAAATGAAGGTCTCCATTTCAAAAAGTGAACTGTAGCCAACAGAGAAATATGTCTACATTACCAAGAAAACAAGTATTTTTCAGAAAGAATCCTTTAATAATAATCCAGAAATGTTTATCTCACAAATACATTTTATAAAAATCTTTTCCAAAATATGCAAATATGAACTTTATTTGGTCTCTGTTGGTCCATCTGTGTGTTATGTAGTATCAGGTTAGTATTAAATGGGATTCCAAGAGAGTCTGCCTCATGTACCTGAAGGTACAGTATAGTCAAGACTTCATTCTTCTTCCCTTAAAGACTTTTTCTGCATCATTTGCTAAAATAACCTCCTGTCCACTTCATTACTATCACCATATTCTACAGTGGCCTTGTTTATAACGATTAAATTAAGAAATCCTGAAGATGGCCTGAACCCAGTGGAAAGAACAAAGGAAAAAGCTAGATGTGTCTAATATACAACTTGTTTCTTTTCTTCAAATACCTCTTCTACCCAAACTGTTAAGATCTTTAAAATTTCTGGAATTATAGCCAATAGCTCCATTTCATCCTGCAGCATAAAAGACTATAGTAATATCTTTTATTTGTAAATAAATGGGGGCAGATTTTATAAGAACAAATAAACTGAGGATTATATTTGAAGGCATAATTTTATTATTTTCACTAGTGGGATGAAAGTAATCTCAATATATAGATTCTTTTTCTTCTTTGTTGAAATCTGTACAGTACTCTCTTGTATGCAAAAGACTGTTTCAGTAAAAGACATTTTTTGGTAATTTTGGTTGGTTTTGCTATTATTCTTGAATAAACTAAGTCTCTTACCTAATCTATTTTTCATTTCAATTGTTAATTTCCTGAGCAAACCCTTTTCATCCATTTTATATAAGTTAAATCTCAGTCATAGCTCCCTCTTTACCCTGTCAACACATCCTTCTTAAATGTAGATACGCATATCAGACGTGGGGGGCTGCTCTGCCTCATACCTCACAGAAGTTATGGGCGAATTAATCCAAAGTATAAGGTTTATTGTAAATGAATTGGTTTATTATATTAGCAAAGCGTATTTACTATATATACATATGTGTGTGTATCTTGATAATTTAACTTGATACACATTACTATATTCTGTTAGCCTGCTATTAATATTCCAAACAACATATTACAGGTGTCCCCCTTTAAGTTATCTGCAGCTTGCCTTAAGGATTAGGTTAGCAATATGCTAGCAACAGCATTTGACATGATACAAATATTCTTGATGCCAAATAATGACAAAAGAAACTTCTCACATCTTTGGAGAATTTCCTAGAGAATTTCAAAGCACTCATCAGCATCTCATTTTCTATAACTGGATAAACACAACACAATTATGAAACTGGATGGCAACAAAGCTGCAAGGGACTGAACACACAAAAGGTGGATACTCAGGAAAAGCAAATTTTAGTCTCAGGATTATTAGTACTTTTAAGAACCCACAATTTATCCCTATTGGAAAATATGCCCTGTGCAACATGAAAAGTAAAAGGAGACTGTTTTAGAAGAAAGAATTCCAAATACAAGATTTTATGACACTAGCATAGACTCAAGTGGTTAAAAAAAGGAAAAAAATTAACAAGAAATTTGTTACTATCTTAGCATTTAATATCTGCAAAAATGTGAATTATTTAATAAACAAGCTAAAACACGTTAATTGTGTTTAGATTTGAGAATGTGCTGTCAATTTGAAGTCACACTGTGATTTCAACTCTATACCAGGAGACAAAGCCTTCTGCCTGATCAAGACTGCAGGCGGCAGAGCAACAGCACCGTCACCTCACTACTCTGCCCCACCTCCAAAAAGAAAAGCAAGATTCCAACCACAGCATACCAGACAGTGTCACGACATAATGATTAGATGTAGCAAATGTAAATGTTTTTTTCCCTTTAAAGTATTCTCTAAATTTGGCCAAACTAAGTACCTAACATAAAAATCCTGCCAAACAGCAGTGATCCTGCAGGATTGTTTTTGGCAGTCCCCCTGACATTCTCTTGCCTTATTAGATCACTCAAAACAATGACAATCTAGAAAGAGGCCATTCTCTCTTCTGAATACCAATTCAGGGTTAGATTAAGGTAAAAGCAGTTAGAGCAACAGGAAACAGACATATACATCCTCAACATACCCACACAATCGTGGCAACTTTCGTACCCGACAATGGCTGAATTTAATTCCAGGCAGATAATTTAATGATAGCTTTGCTACAAAAAAAAATTCAAGTAAAATGCTCAAGCAAGGATTTTTCAATATAAGGGAAAAAGCAGCAGCTACAATTCAAAATGTACTCTATAATGAAACCAACATTAACTGTGGAAGGAAGACGCTGGGAAAGTCAGCTCCCTGACAACCTGATGCCATTTGCCATCCTCCCAAACCTGTATCTGCTCGAGAACCACAGCTTAAGTTGCTGCTTAAGAATATTTGATTTCAACAATAAATCTAAGGTATAATTATTTTCAGTATTCCTCTGAAAGATTAACTGAAGAGGCCACAAATGATTCACAGTAGAGTTTTCTCATGTTCTAGGTGAAAAGATACTATAGCCATATATATTTGCTTAAAAAAATTGATTATGACAAGCTTCAGGTAAAAATCATTTTTAAAGGGTCAATTTTTTCATTTACATATAACCAATACATCTTATTTACATATATATGACTCCATTTTTATTCAGTTTTCTTCATATAAAGTCTGTATTTTTACTGGTATGTAACTGTTTTATATAGAAAGACTAAATATCCTCTTATGCACAGGCAGTTTTGATGATAATAGTTGGTCTCCATATTGAGAACCGAATATAGCTAAAACCTTGGTGAATAACATTAAGTTGAAGACCAGTGGTAACATCCTCCCGAGGGCCACCTCAGTTAATCAAGGCATCAATGGCCTCACCTGCATAAATTAGAGCTGCAACATAACACACAGCAAGTATGATTCTGCCGGCCCTGAAAAAGAGCGCAGACTTACAACTACTGCTTATGTTGCTACTGATGTGAAATTCTTATACTGGGTTCATTTTTTCTTTTCAAAAAACAGTGATTTTCCTAGTGATATTTAATGTTAAAAAGGAACCTTAGTTCTTTAACCCTCAGAGAACTGGTATATTTAGGCAACTAACCAAAAAAATAATCAGAAGCCATGTCTCCATAGTCTCCAAAGGGTTAAAGTGCAAGAATTGTCTATAATCTATTATATAAGGCACCTATTCCACTTTTTTCTTAAAAGAAACTTTTTCTTTGGTTTCTTGTAATTTTTCAGTGAGTCTATCCTTTGTTTCTTCCATTTTCTCTGTGAGAAGCTCCTTTGTCTCTTCCATCCTGTCCTGTAGATACTCCTTAACAGGAGGCGGTGTCGACATGTAACCATGGCTACGCAAATACTTCACAGTGAAGGAGGTTCCTCCCAAAGTCACGGTGTATCGGACAGGTGTTGCAATCTGAAGATATAAGCAAACAGCACAGATCAATACCTGATTATAGCTATCGTCTTAAGCAAAAACAATTTGAAATTAAAATTCTTGGTAATAACCAAATAGTATAAGTTCCTTTACTGTTTCACAAGGCTAATGTAGTTACATCCTATATGGCTTTCCCACCTAACAAAGGAAGCTTCTTCTGTAAACTCATTTTATAAATATTTGTCACTCAGACACTGACCCAGGATTACAGAATATTCCCAGTGGTGGCAGTGAAGTCTGTAACCAAGTGTTAGTGACCCAGTGGGGCCAGGTTCACTGGGAAATCAGAAAGAGGGCTCAGGACCACTACCAACAACAAAGCCACACATGTTTCTATTCCTTAAAAACCCTGCTGAACTGCAGACACTGTATATCTAGAGCTAAACTGGAACCAAAGTACTTCAAACCCTGAGAGGCAAGCATGGGCCAAATGTTTATTCTTTTTTTTTTTTCTTTTTTTGTGACGAAGATCAGCCTTGAGCTAACATCCATGCCAATCCTCCTCTTTTTGCTGAGGAAGACCGGCCCTGAGCTAACATCTATTGCCAGTCCTCCTTTTTTTCCCCAAAGCCCCAGTAGATAGTTGTATGTCATAGTTGCACATCCTTCTAGTTGCTGTATGTGGGACGCCACCTCAGCATGGCCAGACAAGTGGTGCACTGGTGTGCGCCCAGGATCTGAACCCAGGCCGCCAGTAGTGGAGCGCGCGCACCCAACCGCCAAGCCACAGGGCCGGCCCCGCAAATGTTTATTGTTTACCGAATTTAGTTTCACTTCCAAATCTCTTTCCTTTGTCTTTTTCAGGCTTTATGCTACTTTCTCATTACAATCCACCCTGGGTCTGGAATACCAACCAGAAAGTTCCATGAGGCCAAAAAGTGGTAAAATGGTACAGATGTTGCAGACATGCAGAGGTTTAACTCTGACCAGAGATTTAGGGACCAAACTACACAGCAGATGAAATGGTACAAAGAGAATCATAGAAGCAGAGAGAGGGCGCATCACATTCTGAGGCTTTTGTTTTAAAATGCAGTCGTAACTGCAGGTGTGCCGTGTCCCAAAACCCTCCAAACAGTGGCCTGTGCTCTCGATCTCCAATTTCCCTCCTCATCTTCTCTTGAACTTACCTAACCAAGTTTTCACCTCCCCACCTCTTCACAAAAACTGCTCTCATCACAGTCACCACAGAGGCCACCCGAGCCATGAAAACCATCTGAGACCGCTTTTCCCTTTCTCTCCTCGGAGGGGAGCACTTCCTCTGCTTGGCCACCAGACCCCACTTCCCTGGTTTCCTCCCGTCTCACGGGCTGCCCCTTTTCCAGTCCTCCTTGCCGATTCCTCCTCATGTCACCTACCTATGAACGTGGTGGGACAGCATTCAACCCCTGGACCCCTTCTTTTCTCCATCTACCTCACTCCTTTGGTGGTCTTGCCCAGTTTCATGTCTGTAGTGCCATCTATACATCGGTAATTCTTAAATTTAGATTTCCAGACTAAGCCTTTCCCCTAAGTTCCAGTATATACAACCAATTACTCATTTCCACCTGCATGTCTAATACAATCTCAAATGTCATTTGTTCAAAACTGACCTCTTGATGTTCAATTGTCCCATGCTAAACCTGCTCCTCTCAAAGTTGTCTGCACCTCAGGAAATGGTAACTCTGTTCTTCAGTTGCTCAGGCCAAAAACCTATAAGATAGCTTCGACTCCTTTCTCCTACATAACTGACGTTCAATCCATTCAAAAATCCCATCAGCTCCACCTTCAAAATATATCCAGAATCCACCTACTTCTTACTGTCTCTCCTATACCACTTTGGTGCTAGTCACTGTTGGCTCTCACCCAGACCACTGCAATAACCTCCTGCCAGGTCTCTGGGCATCTACTCTTGCCCTGCTATGGATTGTTCTCAATAGAGCAGCCAAAGTGATTTTATGAAAACACATGTCAGATGGTCAAAATTGCCCAGTGTCATTCCATCTCCTCAGAAAAAAAGCTAGAGTGCTCACAATGGCCTATAAAGTTGCCCTGATCTGGCCACGGTGATGCCTATCTGCCCTGCTCACTCATTCCAGCCACACTGGCTTCCTCGCTCTTCCCTCAAATACTCCAGGCATTCTGCAGCCTCCAGACCTTGCACCTGGGTTTCTCCTCCTTGGAATGCTCTTCTCCAGTACAGCTGCCTGATTAACTCTCTCACCTTCTTGCCACCCTTCAGCTGAAACAAAAAAAACAACAATGCAAACACAGCCTCCATCACTGGTTTGTTCTTTCTTCTTAGCACTTTCCCTCATCTAATATGCTATGTGTGGATGTGTATTGTTTTTTAACTTTACCTTCTTTGGCTGCCTCCTGCCACTAGAATATAAGTTCCATGAGGGCATGATTTTGCACTGTTTTACTTAATTGCAGTACTCCCAGACCTAGAATGACACTTGGCACTCAGTAGTCGCTCAACAAATTTTTGTCAACTCCAACAATGGTGCCTTTCAAGGACAGTGCAAGGGGGTTAACGAGTGCATCCTAGCCAATGCCACAAGGTCATACTCACTGGTTATTTTTCTCTCATCTTTGCCACACCTCTTTTTGGGGTTTGTCTTATTGAAGCAATAAATCTCAGCGTTTGTTGCTTTACTTGAGAAACTGTGAGTTACAGAAAATACCCATGAGAATCCCCCTCCACATTTCCCACCTCACAGAGGGACATGAGTGGGAAGAAACACTGCTGACACTAACCTACCTACATGTAAAGCTTCCTATTTCAATTCCAATACAACAAACATGCACTGAGCCTTGACTTGCCTACAAAGCACAACACCAGGCACAGTGAAAATACAAAGAAAAAGAAGACATGATTCTGAACTCCCAGGTGCTCATAATCAAGTAAAGAAAACAAATATTAAAAAAAAACCGACTGTGATACGAACTATAAGAGCTACATACATTATGGGAGCATGGGATAAGGAGCAATTATAACTAGGGAAATAGTTTAAACCATCATCATATATAAGTTTGATTTATTAAGGTTAAATTACATCCATAATAACTAGAAATTTGATAATTTATGAATTTAATAAGTCTTACTGTCGAAAAACTCAGCAATTAAGCTTTAGCCCTCTAGCCAAAATTATAATAAAGGAGGAAATCTCCCAAGATTTCAGAGGATTCTAATGAGGACAATAGAATAAAACAATCTTACTTTGAGTATTACCATAAAACCATAAAATAAGTATTTTTATACAACAGAAATAAAATAACACCTAGTTTCTAAATGTTTTCTACCTGTTTTTTTTTCTTAGGATGAAACTACATAGACCCTCATAATTATTTGTCAATTGAGAAAAATCAGATTAATATGGCTAAATTCCACAATCTACAATGAGTCACCTCTTCCAAAATAAAGATCCATAAGTGTAGAAACTATCTATTTATAAAGATGTCATTGTCTGAATCCAGAGAACAGTTAGACTATGAACTTCTAAAATGAAACATACATAACATCTAACAACTAAGTCTAAGGTTTATCACATAAAACAATTTTACTAATTAAGAAGATGAACTACTATAAACAGTAAAATAAATGCTAAATTTCACCACTACGTCAAGAGGTATGTGGCTCTCAGAATAAGGAAAAATACCATCAGTAGGAGAAATGTCAAAAAGATGACTTCTACCGTAGAAATTCAGAAGTCTCACGCTTGTCTGATCACAGTCGGTTACGAATCATCTACCTATTTTCAAGGCACTTCTTCCTAAACAATCATTTTATTTACACTTAAGAATTTTAAACTTTACTTTAGTCATTAGACACATAAGAGATGAAATACGATATTTTAAGTTACAAAAGATAAATATTGGAAGCTAACATGGAGTTTTACGGAGACCTAAGCAGGTCATCCGTCAAGTGTGAGGCACAATCTATTTATAACAGTACCTACCTTAAACAAGGCATATGCTGTTAGTGCATTTCCACTTTGAGAATTTTTCAGAATGTTTACTATGCTGTCAGGTAACCCAATAAGTTCTAGAAAAGGAACGACATTCACTCCTCTAAGAAAGAAACAGAAAGTAATTTATATTTGTACAAACTTTTAGGGATAAATATTTTCAAAAGACTATCTGAAAACACCAAAACCAAATTTTGTTTAAAAGTCGATTCTTCATTATCAAGCACTTTAATTTCACTCTAAAAGAACAATATGTACATGAACATCAGTCTTGTCCTGTATCTTACTGTTTGCAACTTCTGCTTTGCTTCTGTACATGGACATACCTCATTAGCACATTTAGAAAAATAGAAGCATTTATCAGAGCAAAATTAATAGCTTTAAGTAACCTAAGAGAAAAGAAAGGATCAGAATCATTTACCTGATCTTAGTTTCCTCAACCAAACACCACTTCCTTAGAATGCTCCAACTCAAACTTCAAGGCCTAAGATTTTTACCTCTAAAATTACATGTCAAACTATACTAGTATTGTAAAAGCAAGTGATATTATAACATCACTTATTGTGTTATTATGCCAAGAATAAATGCTCTATGGGTTTGATAAAAACTTTAATTTTTCTAAAAGGATGCTTCTATTCCATTATCAACTTAAAAGGCAAGTGAAGAAGCAATTACTATAAATTGCAACAAATTTTTGGAGAGAAGGAGAGAAGGCAGAGAAAGTCTCTACTCTGAGCTGTTAAATTCTAACCTATTTATAGTTTCCCTGACTATCAACACTTTGCTACACTGGCACTTGCTCTGTTTGTAGTTTTGCAGACATTGTGACCCTTCACCCTTAAATCAAAACAAAGCTCTTGTTCTGCGCTTCTCTGACATAAACATAATTATCACATTCAGGAAATTCAACATATACCATAGTATATAGTTAATACAATAACACATTTATCATTTAATATTAAAATTTCCTGAATTGTTCCAGTATGTCCATCCCTCATCACTATCCTGTCATGTCTGTCTAGTCTCCTTTTCTCTAAAAGTCCTCTCCAACACTTTCTGTTGAGGAGGAAGGCAGGAAGTCTTTCCTGACATTTGGTATTTTTGAGGCTTCCAGGCCGGTTGCATGGTAGAATATCCCTCAATTTGGATTTATCTGATTGTTTCCTCATGATTAGATTCAGGTTACATACTTTTCAACAGGAAAACTGCACAGTTGATTCTGTGCCCGTCTCAGTGCATCACAACCAGGGCCACATAATGTCAGTTTGTTCCACCATCAGTGTGAGTTACTCTGTCTGACTCTCGGTTAAGGCAGGGTCCACAGGTTGCTCCACTGTACAGGGACTTTTTCTCTTTGTAATTAAGGGAATTGCCTGGATCCACTATTATTATGGTAGTTGTAAACTCCTAATTTATTTTTAATATTAAAAAATAATTTGATTAACTGGGAAAAAGTTGTCCCTTTCTCTGATCTCACTATAATACTAAGAAATCAGGGACTACTCTTAAAAGATATGGCTGATTATCATCAAGGAAAATTATCTATCACCTACAACAAGAGAAAACCAGATAACTAAAGGAATCTTTAAAGAGTTAAAATAAAAAATCAACTACAAGCCCAATCTGGTTTCTACTATCTCCACCATCAGTTCCTTTTCAAATCTCTTTCTTAGATAACAACAGAATCCCATTAAAGCAAGACTTAGTACTACAAAGACTTAGCTACTCTATGGATTTAATCAAGTCACTATGTATATAACATCCTACCATAACATGCTAATTATATCTTATAGTACCAATTATGAAATTATTTCATTAATCAATTCCTAGTTTAGACTAAGCCCAGTATGTAAAATCTACATATTTAACAGTAATCCTGAAGAGGAAAAAAAAAAGACAAATATTTGGCCAAATATAAGAAAAAATTGAGTGATTTTAAAAAAAACTATCATAAAGATCAAGCAATAATTACCTCAGACACCCTGCACAAGTACCCTTTGTAAAATAAAAGCAGCAAGCACCTGGTTCCACTTATTTCTAAACTACTGATTTGATGACTTGATTTTTTTAAAAATAAAAATAATTTTCATTTCCTTTGGAATCGCTAAATATGAAGTGTTAATGAGGGTCTGAATCAAACAGTAATAGACACTTTTTGTCACTTTTCACTCTGAAGTTCCCACAGTCTGACGGAAATCTGTGCTTCACAAACCACCAGCTTTATGGAGGTTTCAACTGATGCAGAAACAAACAAGGGCAAAAGCATGTTCATAATCCAGATACAGTACAGTAAAAATCAGTCAGGATTTTGCCTCACAGTGGATCTGTAACTTTAGGAACTTGAGGCCCAAAATAGGAGGCATCTAAACGTAGGGATGAAACCATCACCACAGAGCTACATTTGATCAAACAGGGCACTTCTGGTTAGAAGACGTAAGATCTCTGCAAGCTTTTGCCAGACACAAGCGACAACAAAGCTTAGTTTAAAATAAAATCTATTAGCATGCACAATTTAGATCTCCCTGAAATAAAATGTTTCCAAAGCCTGCGATCTTTCTCACTGAGTTAACTAAATACAGAATGGCATTTTGCTCCATGGTGCCTAGAAGGGCAGTAATGCTAGTTGTCAGAGTGACTAAAACAAACACTGGTCAGTAATGCAGCGTGACAACAAATGCCCATCCTTCAAGTTACAAACTATATTTTCCCCTTTCTCTTAACAGTAACTAGGCAACAAGCAAATAACAGAACTTTTTCCAGCTAAAACCAAATAAAATAAAGCCCACCTCTTGTCAGTTGAATTGAAAACCTGTATTTAATACAAGTAACTTCAATTTTACAATAAAATCTTCTCACAGTGAAAGATACACTGGCATTCAAACATATCCTAAATCCTTATTTTCTAAGTTTGACATGTGATAGATCTTCACTTAGAACAAATCAAATTTCAATTCCTGGAGTATTAAGGATTTAATAAAATATTAAGAAGGATTATTCTGGGAAGCAACATATCCTACATAATATAAATTAGCTATGCAATGCTATAACAGAACTGGACCAGTAGGGACAGCTGGGCAGTAGTGGTGGGTCTGGTAACCCAGTTCCCATGCTGACAAACAGCCAAAAAGGCAAGTTGTGGTGGCTGAGGGATATGATTTTAAAGTGAGTAGTCTTACTCCTATGTTTACACACAAGCATTCTACAGAAAGAGAGGGCAAGGATAAAACTAAGATGCATCTCAAGGGGATGGCAGAATGTCACAACTGCCTCAGGTGCCAGACAGCACTGAAAAAATCTTAAATATAATTAATATCATTAGGTTATTTGGCGGTCTGCTTTTTTAGTAATAGAACTCTTTTATTAAAGAAGGTAAGGAAAAGTAAAAGGAACAAAGTATTCTTTTTAATAGTCCAAATGAGAATCTCATATTCAATTAATTAAAAACTTAGATTTCTCCCTCTAAGGCCAGGAGGCTGAATGCTTATTAAGGACAACCTAAAGAGGGTAGAAGAAACAAATATTACTCATGTCATCTTCCACAATACTGAATCAGAAAAATCCTCAATGGCTCGAAAAAGAAAATTTAATACACAGAAAGTCATTAATTAAATAGGAGAACTGAATGCCTATAATAATTTTTATTTAAAATGGTACATGATTTTATGCTGTTAAAAAACTAAGGACAGTTTTGAAGACTTCTATACATATTATACATGTCTGGAAAATGTCATTAATAAACAAAAAGATAATTCCATCAAGTGTACATATAAGGATCTTGTGCGAAGGAACAATTCTTAAAGAAAATAATGATACATAATGAAGAAGGCTATAAACTGAATAACAGAAACATGATGGAGAGAAAGATATGAAGAGAAACCAAACAGCATCAATTACACAAGGTAAAAAAAAAATCCTTTTAGAACGTTTGTAAAGAAACATCTCTAATCCCATGTTTCCCAAGAACAAGTACAGTCTCCATTCCATTATCTTTTAATTTAGTAAATAATAAGCTTTTTCCAAGGAGTGAGCTTTATATGCAAAACTACCATATTTTATTAATACCTTAATATCAAACCATTAAATATAATGAAACTGAACCACTGAAAATCATGGACTTCTGGAAAGTATAAAATAACTCTAAACCCATTGGGAGAGTTTACTAAAACGTCCAAGTGGTCTACATTGTGCCTTCTCAGGGCCCTCAGGACAACGAGCTTACAGCGCGGTCACGCCCAGACCACTACAAGGAGAGCCCACACAGCACGTTCAAAGGAATGGGCATGCACAGGCATACACTCGCCACTGCTAGTGGTGGAAACAAACTGGAAATCACTGAGGAGCTGTTTCTGTGTGTACTCCTGCTCCTAAAACAGTGTGAATAATATAACTTACCTTAAAACAAAGCAACAGTATTTAACAAGAAAGGTAAATTTAGAAATTCTCTGTTTTTATAATATCTGGAGGCTAGGTCCACCAAATTAACTTTTTTTAAGTCTTAAGAACACCTAATATGAGATCTACCATCTTAACAAATTTTGAAGTGTACAAATTACCCTCTAATCAGAACAAAAGACCTTACCTTGACATTTAACAGATGTGAGTAACATTAAAACATAAGTCTTTAATTTGCTCATTTTTGTGTCTACCACACATGTTAACTAGGCTTTGGCAAAAATATCTTACAAATCTCCCATCAAAATCTTACATATGGAGAAATAATAGATAGCTTTTTACATTTGTGAATATTTTAAGAAATATATAAGTAAGGATGGAACTCACGATGTTGTCAAATTTCTGAAATCTGAAATTTTATTTCTGTGTTATCCTAAATGCTGACAGGAGATGAGCATGATGATTAAGAGCATGGGTTTTGAAGTCAGACTTGGAGTTATTTTGGGAAAAGCTAAGTTATTTTGACTTACTCTTGTTTATCTGTTTTCTCATTAATAAAATGGGAATGATTACACTACTGCTTCATATGGTTGCTGTGAAGATTAAAAGAGAAGATACAGCTAAAAACTTTAGCATAATACCTGCTGTACACAGTATGTCAGCTATTATTATTAAAATGTGAAAAACAGCTACAAAAAGTAGTCATCCTCTATCAATTAAAGACATTAAGGCATTTAAAAAACTATTTAAGGCCTTCATTAGTACACTTAAGATTAACATTCTGATAAAACAGGGAAAGGTGCTCAACCAAGCAAAAACTTACTTTATGGCTGCATAATAAAATGTTCCGAACCAAACACCAGAAGTTATTAGATGCACTGGAATCAAAACTTTTCCATATTGTCTAAATGTTTTCTTAAATCGTTGATAAAGACTAATAGATTTATCTTGTAAAGGATCAGGTTCTTCCTTTTTTGGAGATGAGGCATTGGACGATATAAGCCTCTTGGATAAAATATCTTGCTCCCACTGTTTATGGTGAAGGATCCCCAGTTGAGGTGGATGAACATCGAATGGCTTCCTTTCCTTTGCACCACACTGGGCAGCAGATAAGTGCAACCATTGTTTTTGAGGGCCCTGTACCAAAACTACCCTGGATTCAGCTTTACACAAAAGTAATGGTCCCTTTATGTTTTGACAGTGTCCAAAAAGACCAGCTTTATGTGGTTCCATGCATGTCCTATGTGCCAGTCGGAGTACAGTCCTTGGTACATTCCATTGCATTTTGAAGAACGGTGATTGATGGATTTCAGCTTCTACAGAGACTAGATTAAAAAAAAAAAATTAGATTATATATAGATTTCCATTTTAAACCAATTCCCTTAAAAATAAATCATTAACTATTAGGTAGTGAAGGGGACAAAGACTATCCTCTACCCACTCTGAGTCCTTTCTGGCTGGGCTACAAATTAAATTGACATGAGACCAAATAGCAGGAGAAAATCAAACAAAGCTTTATAACATGTATACATGGGAGAAACCAGGGAAACTGAGTTTCTTGACAAATGGCAGAGGTTTTCACCTTAAATAGCATATTCAGGTAGTAAAAGGAGGATGTTGGGGCGGGGGGGAGTCACCTTACGGGACATTACCAGAAATCATAGTAAACAAGAGTGTGCAGATTTAAGTCCTTGTCTTCCTCACTGATAAGAGCTTCTAGAGATAAGGTCGTCCCCCCTTCTTCCTGATACAGAGAGGGAGATACTTTTACAAATGGAGATTTCTCTTATAAATGTAAATATTTGGTCTTAGCAAGGACCCTCCCAGTCTATCGATAAAATAACCAAGGTAAAAAGACATATTTTGAGGTGGCCAATTTTGATCTCCCACAGTACTAAAAGGACAGACATTGCTACCAAATCCACAGAAATTAATGTTAAGGAATATAGTTCTAACATACCTCAATTTTAAAATTTCATTAAAACACACCATTTAAATATGATATAGTAAATGAGTCCAGCAGACATCATGGAGAGTAGTGTTTTGAGGCTATTTTATTACTACAAAAGGGATATTTGTAGGGCTTCTGTTATTCTACAAACAGTGTAATATAATGAAGAAATCCTAAGCTCTGGAAGCAAAAGACCTGGGCCCTAATGTTTTGGGGGCCTTTTAGACTCCAAGCCCAAGTCCACTAGTAAAATGAGGATTACTTCAGAGGGTTGTTACAGGAATTATATGAAATTTCTGATGTAAAAGTGTTTTTGTAAACTAACAAGCATCACATAAGTGTTAGTTATTATTACAAATGTTAAGGTTTGATGAATAGTTGATAGCAGTATCATTTATTCTATAATGCCTTTAGACTAAATTGTAAATCACACGTTATTGGTTGGTGAGGAGATAGACTTTTCCAGATATCTAAAACTTTTTGTCAGAAAGACAGCACAACATAATTTTAAAAGAACATAGATTTAGGAATAAGATGGAACCAACTGAATTAATAGTGGTATTATTTTGGGCCGGCCCCGTGGCTTAGCGGTTAAGTGCGCGCGCTCCGCTGCTGGCGGCCCGGGTTCGGATCCTGGGCGTGCGCCGATGCACCGCTTCTCCGGCCATGCTGGGGCTGCATCCCACATGCAGCAGCTGGAAGGATGTGCAGCTGTGACATGCAACTATCTACTGGGGCTTTGAGGGAACAAATAAATTAATTAATTAATTAAAAAAAATAGTGGTATTATTTTGAGCAAATTACTTAGCCTCTCTAGACATAGGTTTCCCCACTGGTAAAACAGAATTATGTATGTATTCCCACAGCAAATGAGTTCCCTTCCCTCAACATCAGGCAGCACCACCTGATCTCCACCCAACCCCGCACCAGCTCCACCCCACCCCGCACCAGCTCTCTTACTACTTCTAATAAGTTGGGAAGAGGTGATCTTATTTTTTAAATTGTATACTAAATAAGAGTCAACAAGATTCGAGTTAACACCTCAGTAAATTAGCACTCCAATAAATACAGATACTCCATTTTACATGAATATTTGTTATCTGAGTAGAAAGTTGACTGTCATCACATAAAAACATCCACTAATGAACTGTCCCCCTATACAATTAATCTGCTGACTCATCCCTCTCTAATTAATAATTAACATCAGCTCCTATCAGGCTATCACAGACAATCCAACAACACAATGCAAATGAGTTGCGAAATGAAACCGCAAATCTTGGAAAACAAATAGGCTCCCAGGAAGACTTTAAAAGCGATACTGGAGATTGCTATAAGCAAAAGCAAAGTCAGTGACAAGTAACAATCTGAAGAATCAGACCAGTTAACAACCAAAGAGAAAAGCTACAGGGATAATGACAGGTGCTTCAAATAAAGAAAGACTTAAATATTAGATGACTAAGAAAGGCCACAGAGAAAAATGAGTAGGCCCTTAATTATTTTTACAAAACTGACTTATTATTTGTTGTGAAAGTCAAACATTAAGTAAAAAAATATATTATTGTGCTCTCCTACAATCTTTATTTTTATCTATAAATCTATACTATGCCTATGTCAAGGGGAAAAAAACACCAACGGGTTGTTTATTCTAGTAATTAGCTCAGTTGGAATTATAACCTAAAATTTGTCAAATATAGAGTTCAGCTTCATTTTTCACACAAAAAAATTCCTTTCAAAACTTTTACTTTCACCTTTTGATCTCTCTTGTAGTTGGATTTCTTCTGAGGCTTTTCTCCAGCACCATTATCTTTGAATGATTCCTGTCCATGGCTTTAGTGCAGGTGTTTTCTGACCTCTAAAGTCTTTCTTTTTTTCTTTTAAACTTATTCCCTTTATGGGGCAGCATTCCAGAAGTTAAGTTCGCATAAGTCTAACTTTCAGATAACTAGATTATTACACGTCTGTACATGTGAAGAAAATAAAAGAAGAAGGATTAAAAAGAAAAGCCTCTTTCCAAGTTTGCACCCTTTCCCTGGTTTCCCCAACTACCCCCCCCTCCCATTTTTTAAAACTATCTTGATCCTCTCCACTTCTTATTGCCTATTTTGAAAAACATCTTTACTGAGATATAATTCACGTACTATACAATTTAAGATGTAGACTTCAACGATCTTTAGTATTTTCACAGTTGTGCAACCGTCACCACAATCTAAGTTTAGAACACTTTCACTACCCCAAAAAGAAAGACTATATCCATTAGCAGTCATTCACCATTTCCTCACCGTCTGAGTCCCAGGAAACCACTAATCTACTTCCTGTCTCTATTTGTCTATTCTGGACATTTCATATAAATGGAATCACAGTATGTGGTCTTTTGTGACTGGCTTCTTTTACTTAGCATGTTTTTCAGGGTCATTCCTGTACTAACTCTTGAGCTAAGATTTACCTTTATTCCCTGAGAAATCTCTGGGCTGGTGGCTTCCAAACGTGGCTACACATCAGAATCATGGCGGGATTGGGATGTTGCACGGGAATAGAGGCAGTCTGAAAATACAGATTCCTGGTCTCCGCCTAGACCTAATAAATCAGAATCTCCTGCAGCCAGGTCCCACCTGACAATATGAATTTGGGTCCAGCAAATTGCTCCAGTGCCAGAGGCAGCCATGGTGGCAAAGGTATCATTCATCATCATCATCATAATGGGAAGATGTTTTTGAGCCCCTATGTGGTAGGTGCTTTGTAAACACTTTACACGTATTAACTCATATTCTTCTTTTTTTTGGTGAGGAAGACTGGCCCTGAGCTAACATCTGCGCCCATTTTCCTCTATTTTGTATGTGGGATGCCGCCACAGCATGGCCTGATAAGCAGTGCGTAGATCCGCACTCGGGATTCGAACCTGCGAACCGCGGACCACTGAAGCGGAACACGTGAACTTAACCACTACGCCACCAGGCTGGCCCCTCATGTTATTCTTATAACAACGCTATGAAGGAGGGACTATTATCATCTTTTTATATTTGAGGACACCGAAGCACAGACAAGAGAAAATAACTTGCCCAATGTCGCTAGAATGGTGAGTGAAGGAGCTGGGACTCAAATCTAGTTTGATCTCAGGCCCATGCTGGGTCACTAAGCTATAAGGCCACTTCTAGAAGGAAGAGACAGTGCCAATTTTCAGTAGACTAAGACATACGGTAAAAGCTCCCTAGGGAAACACAGGGCTCAAGAAATGAGTCTTAAATTTTAAATTAAAAACTAGAATTAAATTAATTTAAATTAAAATGCCAACATGTGGGTAATGGCTACCATAGTTGACAATGCAGCTCTAGACTTCCAAACACAATCACAATACTGATGACATACACAATAAGATTTCATTAGATTTCAAGGAACAAACCTATTTCAGATGAGTGCAAGTAGAAGCAAAGGGCAGGTACAGACTAAGTATCATAAATATTCTAGCATTAACAGGCTTCAGGAAGAACAAACACCAAAGCAAGGTAGGAATTATCTTGACTCACAGCTAGCACCTGTGTATAATGGTCTCAGCTCAGCAGCTTCCATTTCTGGGTTTTACTAGTCTGCTCATCTTTTCAGTTAAAGTTAGAAGTTTCTGGTTATTGGTCAATGATGGAGGTGCCATTCCTTATAAACCCTACCTAGCTCAAATCAGCTATTATCCGGGCAAGTAGATGAGTGGACCTGAAGAAATTACAAACTAACAAGCCCCTAAAATATTTCTGATACAAATGAAGAACCTGGAGTGATGAGCAACTTAATCTTGAATTTCTTCCAACGAAATAGAGTAATTTCAGTAATAAATTCTTAAAATCATGAGATTTAGCTTATTTCTTACACAAAAGTTACCTCTTATATCCTGCCTCAGCTTATGAAATTTTCATACCCACAGATGAGAGCAGTTTTCTAAATCGCTTATTGCTTCAGTTATGGAAATAAATGATAAAACACATCACTGGACCCAAGTGAAGTGACAAAATTACACTGCTGTTGCGGCTATCTTTTCACAATTTAGAATTATGTCATTAAAGCCTTTAACACTGTGAGTGGCTGACATATGATTAATGGTGCCTAATTCTCAATATACAGTCAGCTCTTGATATCGGTGGATATGGAACCTGTGGATACAGAGAGCCCACTAAGGGACTTGCACATCCACAGATTCTGGTATCTGCAGGGTGGCAAGGGTGGGGTGAGGTGGGGTGGTGGCAGTCCTGGAACCAGTCACCCGTGGATACTGAGGGACTACTGTACAACCCTATCCTGTACAGCAAGGACATCACGAATAATTTCTAAGTAAAGCCTGATTCTGTCATGACTTAATTTTAATGAGGAGGCAGTAGAGTTTAACAACTG